TCCACTGACACGGAATCTCCTCTAGACTTTGAAACATGTCAGCCTCTACAATCACCACAGCACCACCTGGGCTCCAGGCTTGTAAAATTTCAACAGGGGAAACAAAATCATTTTTACCCAAATGAAACGATTTTTCCTTCCATTTGACACTGCTGATGTTCGGGGCTGTGTAGTTCTTCGAGGTGGGAAGCTATCTTGTGCCGTGTGGGGTCTTTATCAGTGCCCTGGCTTCCTCCTGGTAGGATCCAGAAGGACCTATGTTCTCCCAACTGTAACAACTAACATTGTTTCTAGACGTGGCCCAGTGTCCTTTGGGAAGTAGATCCTCAGCTGCTTATTTCCTCTGACTTATGGAAAGCCCACAGTGTACCCCACCCCATCCTAGTTCTCTTTCTGTTGATGTGATAAACACCATGCCCAACAGGAATTTTGGGAGGAAAAGGATTTTTGGCCTACATGTCTCAGTCACAGTCCATCACAGAGGGAAGTCAGGGCTGGAACCAGGAGGCAGAGACTACTAAGGAATGCTGCTTACTGGCTTTCTCCCCACTGCTTGCTCAGTTTACTTTCCATTACCACCCATGACCACCTGCCAAGGGATGGCACTGCCCACACAGATCATAATCAAGATGATGCCCCCTTGGACTTATCTATAGGCTATCTGATGGAGGCAATAATTTGGTGAAGGAGGTCCTTCTGTCTTTGTGTTTCTTTCATTGGTAAATAAAGAAACTGCTTTGGGCCTGTTGATAGGGCAGAACCTAGGTAGGCAGGGAAGACAGAACTGAATGCTGGGATAAAGAAGGGTGGAATCAGAGAGACGCTATGGACCCGTGGCTGGAGATAGATGTGCTGAGACTTTGCTGGTAGGCCACAACCTCGTGGTGATATACAAATTAATAGAAATGGGTTAAACTAATATGTAAGAGTTAGCCAATAAGAAGTTAGAGCTAATGGGCCAAGCAGTGATTTAATTAATACAGTTTCTGTGTGGTTATTTCGGGGCTAAGCTAGCCGGGTGGTGGGGACGAACAAGCAGCCCTCTCCTTAAAACATGTTAAGGCTTCTTCTTCCCAAACGACTTCAGGTGTGTCAAGCTGACAAATAAAGAACCCAAACCCACAAAACAAAAACTAGCCAGCACACCCATGATTTTACCCTGCTTGTCTAAGCACCCCCAAATTCAGTATTTCACTAGATTTTGATTTCTTTGCCCCATGGAAGAACCCATGTTCTTTGTTTTAATGCAAGGGAGTTAGCCCATCTCTATCTTATTTCTGGTTTATTGGGATTTTTGACCTCCCAGGTCCACCAGCCTTATACAGCTTTCCCATGCCATCTTGGCAGCTTGATTGTGTTCTTCTCAGTGGCACAGTCTTACTCATCACCACCATTGACCATTATTTACTTGACTTTTGACATCAAGTGTCAACTCATTCAGACGTCTTTCCCATGTGGTTTGGGAGGTGAATGGCTCGGGAGGGCTCTGATGTCATGAATGAATTAATCCACTTCTTGAATTTTTATGATCATGTTGTGCTCTACTCAGAACATTTCCATATTGTGTTAAAAAGGGTTCTTTCAGCTAGCCCCTGCCTGAGAGAATCCACTGTGGCAGGAGACTCCATGTGCTAGGTGGGATTGAGTTCTTCTTTAAGCTCTGCATTCTTTCCATCATACCCCATGTATAAATATTCTCTATTTATTTACTATTGAGATAGGCTCTCATTGGGCAGCTCAGGAAAGTCTTGCACTCATGACCCTACTACCTTAGCCTCCTGAGTACTTGAACTATAGGTGTCATCACACCTGACTTATTCCTTACTTACATATGAGATGGTTTCCACAATGTTTTGAGGGCAGGGACTGGGTCCTATTGGTTGTCTGACTCCCAGTGTAGAACAGGCAGAGGTCTGTGGTGTACCACACGAGTACATGCGCTTGAGGGTGGGTCAATGATTGCACCCATTGGGTCCTGAATGGGCTTTGCAAAACACCAGGGTCATTGATACCTCCTTACTAGGCGTCTTCAGAACATGCTTTTCCTGCTGGTCTCCAGCCACCCATCTCTCTTCTTATGAAAAGGTACAAAGACGAAAGGAGCTACGTGTTGTGTTCTTTACCCTCTCGGCATAGACATGACATCATCTGCTCAGTCAGCTTTCCCAGAGTGTTCTTTGCAACTTTTCTCATTTTACAACTACGGGGAAGAGCCCCCTTTCCTCCGTGTCAGCATTCTTGAAAACCCATGTTTACTTTGGTCTATGTCACCTTCTCAGTTTGGAGACTGACTTCCTGACCTTTGGGACATCCCTCTTATTGACGCATGACATTCAACTCTCTAGGCATTTCCTTATTTCCACTTGGTGCTTATTTTAAGCTTTAGTGATATAATTAAGTCCTTGGGAATCCTCTGACTTTACTAGAGTTGTTCAAGATGGTGATGGTGGACAGATGGCATGGGGCAACGAGAGAAACAGGCTCGGGTGACAAGAACTTGGTGGCTCTTTGGACATGGAGAAGGTGGAGATGACTCATGTTTCTGAGTTGTTTGTGCTGGAGATGGAAGATCACCCCGGGGCTGGGATGTGCTAGTCAAGCACTCTACCTCTGAGCTACCCTCACCCTTTGGTTTCGGTTTTGAGATAACGGAATGACAGGTTTCTGCTCCAGATATGGAAGTCACAGGAGAGGAGGAATAAGAATGGAGTGGGGGGGGGGAGATAATGGACATTGTTTGGGATGTTACCATGGAGACAAGGTAACAAAAGACAGGAGGTAATTGGAGATATAGGAAATATGACTCAGGAGGTATTGACGTGAGGGTGACAGCCGAAGCTGAGGGAGTGCTTATGGCGCGGCCATGGTCAGGGATGGCACAGGAGAGTTTGTCCTTTAAAGACACTGGAGACAGAATCATTGAAACTGAGGAAGAAAGCCAGGAGAAGAACCTGAATCAGAGGCCACTAGGGAAAAAGTCTGGGGATAAGAAGGGATGCTCAGAAAGCTTAAGTGATATAAAGACATCCGTTCAGGACAGAAGAATTAGCATGGATTAGCGTGAAGGCCATTGGGAACCATGGGGAGGGCACTTTCCACCCAGATGGTGGGTGAAGGAGTGGGCAAAGAAGGGATAGGCTTCTAGAGGAGGATCCACCCATCCACCGGGCCTCATTATTAACATTCAGACATTTACTCTGCCTTCTCCCAGAGACCTAGCAGGACAAGTCAGCAGCAGCAGCCAAGATGCTGTAGCTGTAGCTACCACAGTTACCAAGTAGAGCACTCTCCCTAAGTAATAAAAGGCAAGCCCTTCCTGACCCCCACTCCTCCTGCTCCCCCGTAAGAGGCCGGCCTCTGCGGGTCCCCAAATAAACTTCTGTTGCTTGCTGTGACCTTGTGGTGTCCCTCAGTTCCAACCGCCAAGGTTGCCTTCCTGCCGCCCTTAAATTATCCTGTGGATGTTCCAAGGAGTCTGGACAGAGGTACATGGTTTGGATATTAACCCCCCTCCCCAAACTCAAGTGTTAAGTGTGTGTCCCCACTGCAGCGATTTAGAAACAGAGGCTCAGGAGGGAAGATTGGGTCAGGAGGGCTCAGATCTCATCAGTGAATTCATAGCCTAAAGGGTTTGAAGGGCAGTAGCTTTGTTACTCTCATTCCTTTGGCTGCCTTGACAAGAACAGTTTTGAGACAACACACCCTCTGTGCTGTGGTAAACTGTATCAGCATAGGCCCCCAAACAGGGCCAAGTGGTCATGAATCAAAAACTCTGAAACAGGCAGAAATAGTCAGACAGACAGACAGACAGACAGACAGACAAACTTCCTAGAAGCTCATTTTCTTACACATTTTGTCACATGGACAGTAGGCTGATGCGCTCAGAAAGACTCACTTTAGAGGCTGTTCATTAGAACCATCATCTCACAGATGAAGAAGCCCGAAGGGGCTGGTTTAGAACTTGCCCCACCCTCCCCTGCCTCACCCTAAACCTTTGACCCTCTCCTTATGCCACCTGAATTTGAAGAGCACAGGTAGGAAGGGATCCGGGGGGCAGTCTGGCAGGTAGAGAAGAATATAGATATAAAGTGAAGAATTGTACAGCTGTCTGAGCTGGTCAAGGCAAGACCCCTCCCCTCCTTTGTCATTTAGTTCTTGCTGAGGCCCAAGAGGTATCTTGCTATAGCTCCCCACTGCATACAACCCTAGGATTGGATTTGGATTGGATTTTCCTCTTGTCTGGGGCCCACCCATCTCTCTCTCCTCTCACGGGAGATAGGTACACGAACCCAAGCTATCTCCCAGGGGATATGACGTTGAGAATAGAGACCTCAGTCAGGGGTCCAAAACCAAGTTTAGCTTTGAGACTTGCAACTGAGAGGCTGACTTAGAACAGCTGCCCTGGATGTCATCTGTGACTGTTTAAAGTACTTTGTTTAGTTTGGCAGAAGCCTGCTGACTCCAGGGCTCCTGCTGGGAGTCCTGTTTGCACTTCGGTGGTGCTAGCCCAGCAGGTGATAAAGGGACAAATAAGACAGGAGCTTATAGCACTAGAAGATGATAGCTACTTGACACAAAAGAGTCATGGTCAGCAAACGTTTTTCCTTCATGTCTCTTAAGTTATAACCGTGGAGAACTGTAAGTTATCAAATGAAGGTGATGTTCACAGCTCAGGCTGAGGAGAGAGGCAGTCAGTGTAAGCTCTGGGGAGTCAGCTGGGAGCAGAGGGAGGTGGATTGTAGATTACTTCTAATACTCTCTTCCGGAGACTGTGCCAGTGGGGAGGGGCAGCAGATAGTTTGGGGGAGCCCCGGGGGAACTACATCAGTGCAGGAGGAGCAGCAGGTAGTTTGGGGGTGTCCTAGGGGTCTGCATCAGTGGGGAGGGGCAGCAGACAGTCTGGGGGAGTCCTGAGGGCTGTACCAGTGGGAAAGGGGCATCAGGTAGTCTGGGGAGAGGTGGCTATATTGACTGAATGCAAAGCACTTCTCAAACCTTACCTTTCCCATGCCAGCATGGGCATGTCCCAGCTTGATCACCACGGGGAAGGGCGGGGCCGTGAGCTGAAAGACACAAGAGGAAATCACTCATTATTACTCTCAGAGCATTGCCATGGGGAGGCTCTGGGCTGTCTGTTCTGTAGGAAGGTTCACTCACAGAATGTTGTCAGGGATTCCCACAGAAAGCTCTGCAGGTGTTCAACCTGTGCTCCAGAACACCTGTGCGCACCTGGGCTCTCAGAACCAGCTTGCCTGGGAGCACCCAACAGTCTGTAGAGATAGAGGTGTTCCAGACAACTGATTTAAAATTCTGACTTGCCAGGCAGTGATGGTGCACACCTTTAATCCCAGCACCTGGGCGGCAGAGGCAGGAGGATCTCTGTGAGTTCGAGGACAGCTTGCTCTACAAGAACTAGTTCTAGGACAGGAACCAGAGCCACAGAGAAACCCTGACTCGAAAAAAAAATTAATAATAAAAATTAAAAAATAATAAAATTCTGGCTTTACCCTAGTGCAGCTGCATGCAAAACATGACATGGATCCACGCCCGTTTCCTCATTGGCAAAATGTAGACGATACCAGTGTTCACACATGGAATGGTCATGAAAATGACAGGAATTCTTTCCTAGTTTATGTTCATGGATGCTTTGCCCACATGTATGTATGTGTACCGCATGCGTGCCTGGAGCCCACAGAAGCCAGAAGAGAGCATTGGGTCCTGTAGAACTGTAGTTACAGATGTTTCTGGGTTGCCTTGTAGATGCTGGGAATCGAACCCAGGTCCTCCGGAAGAGCAGCCTATGCTCTTAACCACTGAGGCATCTCTTCCCATGTCGGGACTTCTAAAGCTTTGGATTCAGAGGATGGCAGCTTCATTTTCCTGGCACACTTCTGCCTCCCATAATACTCCAGTGCCTGGCAAGTCTCCTTACAACTCCTAGCTTTCTTCTGGGCACTGCAGGAGTTCAAGGCCACTTTGCTGCTAGCATTTATCAGTTATGTCCTATAGGCACTGTGCTACGTAGCCTCACCACAGTGGCTTCTTCGGAGCATTGCACTGTTTTCCAGGCAACTGTCCTCGCCTGCCTGGTGCCCTCTTATATTGCCGGTCTCTCAGACATTTCTAATGCCAACACAAGGCTGAATACAGAATCTGTGCTTCAATCTGTTCCGTCAGCATCATTTTCTGGAGGGGTGTGGTCCTCTCTCCCTCTGATAGAAATAAAGAGTGCCGGGAGGAGAGACCGAGAGGAAACCAATGCTCTCACATCTGCGCTTTGATTTGTTCCTTTCATGTCATTCCTATGTCGTCTGAAGAGTGTTTGCTTGGTTTGTAAGAGTCTATTCTGGTTTGCTTGAGGTCAAAGTTTATCTCTCCTTGCCACATAGCAATGATGTCAGTCTCTTCCTTTTGGATCATGCTGTCCCGCAACAGGGGCCATCACATCCCCTTCTCTAGGCTGTACAGATAGTCTGTCACCCTGTCCTGAGGTGTTCCCAGCAATGTCCCCTGGGAGCTCATCTTTTCCCTTTGGGTGTCTACGACACAATCTTGCCCAGTGGTCATCTGTGGGTCACAAAACCACTAAACGAACTTAGGTGCAAACTTGATTGTATTAAGACAAACCTAAGAGATGAATGGAGCACACTTCTGAGTGTGTTTGTGAGTGTTTCCAGAGGTGACTAGACCGTGAGACTTTGACCTAACGGATGATCTATGGTGGACTAATTGATCAAGGTCAATGGACGACCTTGGCGGACTCAAAGCAGGACAGCACTGCTGGGAGCTGGTAAAACATCAGTGTTGGGTTCTTGTTGGAGGACAACACCCTTGTTCTTGGGAACTACGTCCTGCCCCGGCCCCTTACTATCCCAGTGCCACTCTGTTCCCTCTCCACGATACTGGGAGCCATTGCAACACCCCCTCCCCACGATGGACTGACCCATAGGAAATGGTGAACCACAATAAATCCTTCCTCCATTATGTGTCTGTTTCAAGTATTTTGTACTAAGAATGAGAGAGGAAAAAAAAAAGCAAGGTATACATCATCTCATCATCTCCCACAATGCCTCTTGAGGCAATCTGAGGAGGCACTCAGTATTTTTACTATCCTGGGTTTTTTGTTTTTCCATATAAAGTTGATTATTGTCCTCTCAAGATCTGTAAAGAATTTTGATGGGACCTTGATGGGGATTGCATTGAATCTATAAATTGCCTTTGGTAGAATTGCCATTTTTACTATGTTGATCCTCCCAATCCAAGAGCAAGGGAGATCCTTCCATTTTCTGGTGTCCTCTTCAATTTCTTTCTTCAATGCCTTAAAGTTCTTGTCAAATAGATCTTTCACTTCCTTGGTTAGGGTTACCCCAAGATATTTTATGCTGTTTGTGGCTATCATGAAAGGTGATGCTTCTCTGATTTCCCTCTCTGCTTTCATTCAGTATTATTAATATTGTTGTTGTTGTTATTATTTAAGCATTTTACAGATAAGAAAATTTTGCCAGCCGAGAGCTGAGGACTTCAAGTGGGTTCAGTAATTCCCAAGCTCAGTTTGGATAATTTTCCCCCTATTTCAGCCTAAATATTACCATGCTCCTGTACTCAAGGTGATCCAGTTTGTCTTTTTAAATAAAGAAGTAACATTTGATTTTGATACCAAAAGCAATATTCAGTCAGTGGAAAAGTTTGGAAATAAATTGCAATAACTTATTAAGTATAAAAAAGGGCAATAACAGTTGTCCCAGACTTCTTGTCTGCTGGTCTGAGAAAAAAAAAGCCCAATAGTTGCTTTTTATTTGTTCTGTTTTTATGAAATTGAGAGCACAGTGCATATCCAATTTTATTTCCCACTCTTTGTACCCGATAATAAGCGGTGAGAACATTTCTGGTGGTTATTATTTGTTGGTTTAACAGTTATAAAGTAATTCCCATCTGAAAGAGACTTCAAGAGCAGCTTTGGGCCATCACGTTGATGAAACAAAACACTGCCCAAGCAATTGAAAACCATGATATGATTCTTTCCTTGATGTAAGCCATTCCCTCCCACCCTAGAGGGAACCAGTGCACGGATTCTGTGTTTATTCTTCCCCTGCATCTATTCATAACCTTAACATCATATAATTTCTAACAAACATTGTGCCTCTTTAAACTTCAGCTTTTCTGCTTTTTTTTTTTTGAGACAGGGTTTCTCTGTGGCTTTGGAGCCTGTCCTGGAACTAGCTCTGTAGACCAGGCTGGTCTCGAACACACAGAGATCCGCCTGCCTCTGCCTCCTGAGTGCTGGGATTAAAGGCGTGTGCCACCATCGCCTGGCCCAGCTTTTGTGCTTTAAAAACATATTCTTTTACAATTTCATCCACACATGTACCACATACACATGTGTGTGTGTGCACTTGCACTAACTCTGGGAGAAAGAGGGAGAGGTACAGGAAAACTGGGTGATGGAAAAGGAGATTAGAGGCTCTGGCTCCACAATGCCAGCTGATCTGGGCTGGGACAAGATGAAATCATAACCCAAGGGAATCATGACCACACCAGGAGGAACACTGTCTGGGAGCTCCAAGTTGGGTAATTCCAGTGTCAAGACTTTGTGATGGTTAGCCCTGGTAGTGAACTTGAATGGACTGAGAGACACCAAAGGAGTCAGTAAAGCACAGCTCTCTCTGATGTGTCTGTGAGGGCATTGTCAGTCAGTTAGATTGCAAGGGCTATGACCTAAGCAATGGTTAATCTATTGATGGATTCAGACTTTGAAAGATATAACCTAAAGGCAGCGCTATATTCTTATTGGCTAACTCTTACATATTAATTTAACCCATTTCTATTAATCTGTGTATTGCCATGTGGCTGTGGCTTACCAGGTAAAGTTCCATCTGGCTCCAGCAGGGCTACATGGCTTCTCTCTGACTCCGCCCTCTTCCTCCCAGCATTCAGTTTAGTTTTCCCCACCTAGCTTTGTTCCCCTATAGCTCTGTTATAGGCCCAAAGCAGTTTCTTTATTAACCAGTGGTATTTACAGCATACAGAGGGGAATCCCACATCATGCTTCCATTTCCCAGTGCTGGGACTACAGGCACCTGCTGCTACACTCAGGATTTTCTGTGGAGGATAGGGATCTGAGCTCAGTTTCTCAAGCTTATGCAGCAAGAACTTCACCATCTTCTCAGCCCATCTTTCTGCCTTTGTCATATATTTTTCTGGCATCTGTTATTCATGCCTTTTCTAGCTCAGATGGCCAATCTCACCTGCCTAGGTGCTTTTGCGTCTTGCTCACACATCTGTCTTTGTACATACTTGTTGCATATAAATAGTTGGCATTGTATTTATTTTTTCAAACATATCTCTTTCTCACTTGCTTTTCCAATGCTGGAGATGGAGCCCAACGGCCTGCTTTGCCACTGAACTACACCTCTGCCTACTCTTACAACTCTGCATATTATATCATGCACATGCCTTCCATCGTTACAGGCACAGTCCTAACACAGTCATTGCAATAGCTGCACCACATTCCATGTGCATCTGTGTTGTCTGAGGTTTCTGTCCTGTCTGGTTCCCGCAATCGTTAAGTCCCAAAGAAATCACAAAGAGGTCTACATTAGATATAAACTGATTGATCCATTAGCTCAGGCTTCTTATTAACTCTTATAACTTATATTAGCCCATTGTTCTTGTCTATGTTAGCCACGTGGCTTGGTACCTTATTTGGCGGGGCAGTCACATGTTGCTTCTTCTGTGGCTGGGTCAGGACTGCAGACCAAGCTTTCCTCTTCCCAGAATTCTCCTGTTCTCATTGACCTGCCTCTCCTTCCTGTCTGGTTGTCCCATCTATACGTCCTGCCTGGCTACTGGTTAATCAGCATTTATTTAAAATATAAGTGACTGAATACAGACCATTGTCCCACACCACATCTGTCCTGCAATACTTGAGCCACTTTCCTGGGGATGAACTAAGATGTGTATGGTTCTCTCTCTCCATCTCCTTCTCCTCTTCCTTCACTGCTACTTCAAACCAAATCCCACTAAACACTTTTGCTCACACGTCCTTTGAACTATATTTCATCTCCAAGGGGCTAGACTTGGAGCTTTTCAAGGAGAGATATGCAGAATTTAGAGACATTGTGATAGATTTCTGTAGCAAGTCATTTGATCTCCAGAAATGAAAGTTCTGAATCATGTAAAGAGTCTGCCCATGAAAATGACATCTCCCTGACTAAGATGGTTTTCCAGCCAGGAGTAGAACCAGGGACCACTTGTGTAATGTGCCTTAGCTTCTCTCCTTCCTCACCACTATAGATGGAGAACAAGCCACTCAGCCCTGGCCCATGGCTGCTCATTTCTTCTGCCATGTTCCTTCCCCTCCATACTGTGTCTATGGATCCCAAGGGCTGTTCCTATTTCCACCCATTTGCCACAAGTCAGCCCCTCCCCAAGCACAGACAGGTCACAGAGGACAGAAAACATCTTGTTGGCTAGGCTATTTTTTCTCTTCCCTTCACAACAATAGCTTTATTTAGTTTCCTTGGGGATGGCTTCTCAGGGACCCTTTTCCCGGTCCCATGGCCCCAGACACTCCAGAGTTCAGCACTGCCCCATGGCAAGAGGCCTGACATCCTGTTAGAAAGGGGACAGATCCATCTTTGAAAAGAGATTCTCCACCCTGATAAGGCCTTACTCAATAGTACCCAAATAAGCTAAAATAAGTGGGGCGGCCCTGTGTTCTTGCAGGGTGTTCCCTTGGGAAGATCGGAGTCCAACAGGCTTAGCCAAGGCCAGCATTCTATCGACGACATCCTCACGCTGAAGCTGGAACTCTACAGTGGGTGCTTGGGGATGGTCTATGCAGCTTCCTACCCAAGGCATTCCCTCTATACTCTGGGTAATGGAGATTTATGCATGTGAAGGTTTGCATCCTTGCTGAACATTGCTATGGCTTGAGTATGTCTCCAAGGGTTCATGGAGGAAGCCTGGTCTCTAGCTTTGTGTTGAGGCATCAGGACCTTTAAGAGGGGGTACCAAGTTGGTCTTTGGAGGGGGGTTTTAACTAGTTATGTGGGGCCTGGCTAGCTCTGCAAGGCGGGGTTGTGGAAGAGCTCAAACCAGGGCCTTCCCTGCTGCTTTAGCTCCCTCCCTCATCATATGATCACACACTGTTCTGGTTAGAGTCATGCAGGAAAGGGGAGCCACAACTGAGGAGTCTATGTCTGTTATCGATTGTGGTTGAGACCTGAAGACCGTCCTAAGGTACAGATCTGGCCCAAGAAGCCCAGCAGACACCTCAGACTTAACCTCATAGCCAGTGTTCTGACATCCAATCACAAACAGCAATCACAAACATCTCCAGTCACTTGTCCTGCCATGCACCTGGATGCCTAAGATAGGCATGGCACCTCCCCTGCCTTCCTTAATTCTAACACTAACCAGGTCCAGGGTTGGCACTCAGGAAGGCCTAGGAGGTGTTTGCTGAGTGCCTGTGGTCTCTCTGCTCTGATAATTCCACCTCTGTCTCACCCTACCTCCCACTGCTTTTAGTGTCTTGGAAAAATACTGGGAGAAAATTTGGAATAATTAAACTGATCATGCCTACCGACAAGCAAGCATTCCTTTCTCTTACATTTCCTGTTGCCCTGAGAAATGCAACGGCCAGAAGCAAACCCACAGGCTGGCAGCATCTGCCTGTGGACAAGCTCTCCTTGTTTTCTCACCTGTGTGAGCTTAGGGTTCACAGTAGGCTCAGGCTGCCAGGATATTACCCTTACCACCTCAGGGACTCTCTAGGTGCTGCTCACATGGAGAGGACATCCTCAGTGGAAGAGTTTGTCTGAGGGAGGAGCCAAATGATCCTGAAGGGGCAGGATACAGGAGACCACCTTCATGCTCCTGAAGATAGGCCGCCTCAGGATCCCCAAACTTCTGGGCTGCCCACGGCTCTTTCCTCTCCTTTCACCTTCTTCCTGTCCTATCCTTTTATTTATGTTTAAAATTTTTTTTTTTCTTTAGCCATGGTCTAACTATACCACATATGCACCCTATCTTCCCACAGGAGTCTCTTTGGGAAGGTTTTTTAGCTTCCTTGGTTGGTTTGAATAAAAATGGCCCCTCTAGGCTCTCTGGGAGTGGCACTATTAGGAGTGGTGGTCTTGTTGTATGTAGGAGGTGTGGCTTTGTTGGAGGAAGTGTGTCACTGGAGGTGGGCTTTGAGGTTTCCAATGCTCAAGCCAGGTCAGTGTGCCATTCTTTCTGCTGCCTGTGGATCAGATGAGGGACTCTCAGCTGCCTCTCCAGCACCATGTCTGCCTACACACCACAGTAATTCCCCTTCACATGATAATGGATTAACCCTCTGAATGTAAGCCAGCCCCAGGTACGTTTTTTTTTTTTTTTTAATAAGGGTCTCCATGGTCATGGATGTTTCATCACAGCAATAGTAACCCTAACTAAGACACCCCCTCACCTCCCAGGTGCTTTGTCTGTAAAAGGAATGAAGTGCACACCATTGTTGTGGGATCCGAGTCTGCATGTGAACCACACGTTTGGATTTGGACCCCACGTAGTTCTCTGTGGGCAACAGAAATGGCATTCCCTGAAAATCAACCCCCAATACCCTAACCTTACCATCCATTCCAGCTAATGGACATTGTTTTAAAGATTTATTTATTTATTTATTTATTTATTTATTTTTTACTCAAGCAGTCTTTAATGCAAACTGTATGAGACGCCCCTACTCCTGAATCTTCTCAATTGTTTCTTCCTTATATTTGCCCTTCTCCTTTCTTACTTGTCGAGACTTGGCTTTCCTTTCCAGGATCTTCTTTCGGTCTTTGTCCAGCTTTAGCCTGGTGATCACCACCTTGCTGGGGTGGATGCCCACGTGGACAGTTGTGCCATTAGCCTTTTCCCGCTGCACCCATTCAATGTAGATGACGTATTTCTTCCTGTACACTTGGACCACTTTGCCAATCTGCTGGCCTTTGTAGTGTCCCCGGACAACCTGAACTTCATCATCCTTTCGAATGGGCATAGAGCGAACATTGTACTTCTGTCTCGGCTCTTTGGAAATGGGGGAAGACATGATCTTCCTCCGAATGTGAGAAGGTGCATTGAAATGCCGTTTGCGGTTCTTGCTCCGGTCAGAGGTCACAAAGGGATTGAACTTCATTTTGGCGGCTGCAATCCAGCGATGGCCGAAGAGGAAAGAGCTAAAGTTTTATTTATTTTTCTTTTAGAGAAGGTCTCTGGGTCCCACTGAGGCCAGGTTGGCCTTGGACACCTCCTGCATCCATTTTCCCAGTCATGTAACATGCCTGGCTCAATATTTGGCCACGTTGAGGCTCAATTCAGGGATTTCATATATGCTAGGCAAGAATCTGCTGATGAGTTACAGTCCTGATGTAGGAAATCCTTCAGCAAGTAGCCTTCAAGTTACCCGCCCACTTGGGCGTGACCTCTTATACTATACATGCCGAGGTTACCTTTTAGTGTCTTTCATAGGGAAGAGACAACCGAGACCCAGGCAGAGGCTAGGGCCTGTGCTGAACGGTGAGACAGGTCTCCGGCTAATGAACGTTTTAAGAGGATGTCTGATTCGAGAAGCCATATCTGTTCTGCGTCTCCTGGTGGCCAGCTGTGTTTTGCTGCAGCCTTATAGTAGACACATCCCACTTAATTCCCATGAGCCTCATCACAGTGTTGCTACTTCTGACTCATGAACCAGAACCCTAAGACCTAATTAAACAATTGTTCAGCTGATGCTGAAGCCAAATCCATGCTTGAGGACTGAACTGTTTCTTACATTGGCCCTGAGTCATAGGGATGACCCAGACCCTACTCTATAGAGAATCATGGGATGAATGGAGCAGTGGATCACACAAGAATGATTTCAACTCAGCTGCGTAGTCCGGCTGGCTGCTTCAAGAGGAAAGGAGTATTGAAGAGGTTATCACAGACAACGAGCAAGATGGTATTTGGACTAGATTTTGCAGATAGAGTCAGTTTGCCTAATAAAGAAAGGGCCATTCCAGGCAGAGGTATCCATGAGGAAATGACATAAAAGTGAAACTTCAGAAGGTTCAGGAACCATCAGAGCCAACCATGGAAAAATCCTGCGAGGGAGAGGCTAGCCAGTATCTAAGCTCAGTGACGACCTCACTTTGTTACTGCTCTCTCTCTAAATGAGGGTAGACACATAGTCACTGAATTCTCTGCATGTTCAAGGGGTTTATGCTAAAAATATGAGTTTATAAAATGTACACATTTAAACCAAACCACAAATCTGGTTACTTTGTTTTGGCTGCCCGCCTCCCTGCCTACCCAAACCTAGAGTTTCCAAAAATGAAGTCTTCTCTTCTTCTTTCAGGAACACATGTTGAAGCGTTTTCAGATGAAAGGACAGAATGTCTTGAGCTTTCTTTAAAATAATCCCGTGCGGTCTGGATGGGGAAGTGAGTCTGGCGTGGTCACAGACGGGGTCTGAACTGGAGCTGAGCAGGGGCGCAGGCATAGTGCGGGGGCTACTTTGTGTTCATGTGTGTCTGACCATTTCCATTACAAGTCATTTTATGTGTGTATGTGTGTGTTCATGTTTGCACACATGTGTGCACATGGAAAGCATCTTCCTTAATCTTTCTCCACCTTATTTTTTGAGACACGGTCTCTCAATGAGTCTGGAACTCACAAATTTGGCCAGACTGGCTGGCCAGTGAGTATTAGGATCCTCCTGTCTCTGCATCCTCAACTCAAGCATTGTGTGTGCCGTCATGTTTAGCTTTTTTACAATGATGCTTGGAATCAGGTCCTTATGCATGTGTGGCGAGCATTGTACTAACTGAGCTACCACTCCACTCTCACAGACCATTTCTTTCAGGTTCTCTCTCACTCAGTGTGGACCCCCAGAGTCCCAGAATGAATATCATAGCTAGGTAGGAGTACAAGTGATGGAGTGGGTGAGCACAGGGCATGGAGCCAAACCAAAAAAAAATTGACTCAGTGGCTCAGGCTGCAACCTGCAGGTGGTAGGCACCAGACAGAGCTGATACTATTCAGTTTTCACTCAGGAAAGGGCACCCAGAATACTGATTAGCAGGAAGGTAGCAGTAATGGGTAGGAGTCAGGAAGGTCTGGGAACAGATGAAGAATACAGCTGAGGCCTGTAGGTTGAGTGTTGGCAGTTTGCTGTCTACTTCACATTGTCCCCAGGTTGTGCTGGGGTGGTGTCCACGGCTTAGGATGGAGGCATGAAGCTCCTAGTGTATCTTTACATCATCACGTCTCCAATATAAATAAATTTTAGAACAGGCAATTACCTACTGGACTTGAGGCTGTAGTCTTGTCCTCCTGGATACCTCTGAGATAGGACAATTACAGGTTCAAGGCTTGGAGTCTAGAGAATAGGTGATGCCTTGTGATGATAGGTTCATGAGAATTGCCCACTGGCCAGACCAAGTATGACATCTTGTCCTGCCTCTGAGCCCTTCCTCGTTCAGACAAGCTGCCTGATGGCAGCTGGCTCTCTATGAATAGAAAAACCCAGGGAAGCAGAGGCTTTCTCAACTGCCAAATGAATGAGCCAGCCCAGGTCTGACCCAGCCTAGAGCAGCCTCTCCATAACTGTCTACAGGCTGGAGGGAATGGAAGTGAGATCACACCAGTGTCTGAGGAGGAGGGGCGGGGGGCTCCGTTCTCCCCTAGGATAAAGCCATTTCCTCTTAGCTCCAAAGCTTCAGAGAGGCTTGGCTTCTGAATTAAATTCCAAGTGGAATAGGGCTGGGCAGAAACAAACCATTAATATGTCAACCCTTTCAACTTAGGTCTCCATCTTTCTCTTGGCTCCTTAGTGTGGGGTTTCCTCATTTTAGATGGATGGTGTGATTCCCTCCATTAGGGAAAAAAACCTTCTAGATGCCTTTAAATCAGGCAAATGAGTATGGGCTCCCTGTTTCATTTTGAAGATGTGGGACATGCCAAAAGGTTTCTGGACTGAATATTCAGTGACTGCATAATGGACCAAGGGATAATGGCCAAAGCCCCTAAATCACTCACCAGACAGGACAATCTCAGCCACTGGGACTTGGAGACCCCTGGCAGCACTGTGAGTGGAGTCCCCAACACATGGAAAGATGACTGGCAGTGGGAGATCTCAGCAAGAAAGTAGGCTCACACTCGAGGAACTGATGGCTCTGAATGGACCAGAATCCTTTAGCTCACCTATCTGAGTGCACTCAAAGATACCTCTATCTAACCTAGGGACAAAGGAAACTGAGGCCCCATCTGTAAAGTGTTGCGGGGGTGTGGATTCAATATTAGCACTTCCTTTCTGAAATTTAGTGTACCCACTGGTAAAACAGGTCTGAGTTGGAGAGTTTCAAAAACATGGTGTGGGGGGGATGGCCTGGTGATGGCCTGAGAATCGGTAGGTGGGCTATGTTTCCTCACTCACATCTTGTTTATTATTTCAGATATTCCTATTTTTGATAGCCTCTCTCTCGGCAGGACCATTCTCAGGAATGCCTGGGGTCTAGAGCTCTCTTTCTCTCTTGCTCTCTCTGTCCGTTTCTTTCTCCCCATTTGCATGTAAAGGTGTGTGCATATATGTCAGTGCATGAACTTGTAGAGGTCAGAAGTCAACCTCGAATGTCATTCCTCATTATCTGTCTGCCTTGTTTTTGGAGACAGTCTCTCCTTGACCTGGAGCTCCTCAGTTAGGATAAGCAGACTGGTCAGCAAGCCCCAGTTAGCTGCCTGCCTCTGCCTCTACAGTGCTAGGATTGCAAACCCTTAAAATGTGGATTCTGGGGTTTGAACTCAGGACCTGTTGTTGCATGGTGAGCATTTTCATGGCTGAGTTATCTCTAGCCTTAGATCTTTGCTTTTCAATGTGCAGTTGTAGAATCTGTAGATCATCAATCACATGTCTCATTTACACTCCAGATTGAGGGCTCAGGTCCTACATTTTAACAGGATGCTCAGCTGATGCAGGTGCAGGTTTGAGATTACTGGTCTACCTAACTATGTTGGTAGCTAAATCTTGTTACTTCTGAAATTGACCCATTTATAAAAGGAACGGGATTAATCTATTGACTTAGAGAATTAAATTCCTATGAAGATCAAAGCCTGTTAAGCCTGAGTGAAGGCTTACTTCCGAGCTTTGTTTTTTAAACTTGCACTTCCATTTTCTTATTTCCAAAGTGTTCTCTGCCTTTCCTTAAATCTTTCTAACAATAACTATGGAAGCACCGCGTGTGGAGATAAAGGATTTGAACTGGAAAGAGTGCCATGATCACAGCCTTGGGCCTCAGTTTTCTTCTCTAAGGAGATCATTGTGCAGACTGAAGCACATGAGTTCCTTCCCATGCCTGACCTTGGGTAGGAAAGGGTCACTTGCCATCAGGTCGGGCAGGGGACAGCTCTCAGCAGCTCTGTCTAACTGGAGGCCCAACAGTGCTGGAGTAACTTCTGTCTTTCTTCTCCAGCAAGCAGAGAGTCAGTCTCAGGGCATCTCTCTGTGCTTCCGGCTCACATTCATCCTGTGCACGCTTTAGGGTCTACTCACTCATCACACCCAGAGACTCATCAAGATCTCTACTAGGATAGCCAACTTAAGAGGATAGATCCGAGACCCAGAAAAATTGAGAAACTCAGAACAAAGATCCCGACTAAAGCCCTCACGAAGGTTCTAAGGCACCAGGACCTTGCAGGGGGAGTTGAGGGTGGTAATATTGGCTCCCACACCAGCTGCTTGCTTCAGACATTTCACTGACATCCCTACAAAAAGGCTGGACCAAACCCTGTACGCACATGGCTGGGATGGAGACAAACCTCATAAAAGGCCCTGTTTGCTTACACTCTGCACAGCTGGGCTGGATGAGTCCAGCTATGTCAATAGCTTTGGAAAATCAGCAGGCTGGAAAAGCCCGCTTTGTCTTGAAGAGTGCTCCCACTCAGACTTCCCAATGCCAAAGTCTCGAACTTGTGGCTTCAATAGAAAAAAATCATCACTTATAGAAATCTTTCTCAGTTCTCTGTGTAAAGACCCAACTGGGAAGGGTGTGGGGCTGGGTTTCCTCTTTCCTCTCTCATTCTCATTTTAGGGAGACCCACCTCTCCTAGCTGGGAGAATCAGATGAGCAGAAACAGCAAGGCTCTGACCACTGATGGCTCCTT